TAGAAGTAGTAGTAGTAGTAGTAGTAGAAGTAGTAGTAGTAATAGCAGTAGTAGTAGTAGTAGTCGTCGTCGTCGTCGTCGTTGTCGTCGTAGTAGTAGTAGTAGTAGTAGGAGGAGGAGGAGGAGGAGGAGAGAAAAAGGAACAGCATGGTTGCGACAAGTGCCACCACCACCACCACCACCACCACCACCACGACGACTGCTACGCTTCTGCTGCTGCTCCTGCTATGCTCAGTGTCGTCTTTTAGGGAAGTACAAGTTACCAGTGCATACAGCTTATTGGTATCTGAAACGGCCCTTCACAGTGAATGCATAACTGCTGATGTCAGGCCTTTGTGTTTGGCAGCTCTCGTGGACAACTGGAGCAAACAGATGATACCCTCCACGCTCACATGTACTGCAACCTGCATCCAAAAGGCGATTACGACCGAGGGCGCGCGAAAGAGCCGATGGCGAGAGATAGAGAGAGATGTGTATATATATATATATATATTATAGATAGAGTGAAACGGATAAATAAACAAAGGCCCGGAGTAGGAATGACGTTCCGAGCGACTCACACGAAGGCATCATTGCAAAAGATCCGAAAACATCGTCAGGACTGGCATGCTGTCTTAGCCCAGTTTCAGTGCGCAAGATGACCTCCCTTGCATCCAGTACAGCATACGCGTGGCCGGAGATCAGCCCGTCCGGACGGTAGTAATCACCTCGGGCACGATATTTCGGCGTGTCAGTTTCAGGCATGTGCTGCGTTGAAGCGCTGCAATCGCGGAGTGCTGAGACGACAGAAGTCGATCAGCATTCTGGTTAGGATGTCAAGCCCGCAGGAAACCTGCAAGATGTTCACTCCCAGGCTGCAGGAAGGGCCGGGGTAGTCTACTTACTCGAAACCATCGGGAAGCAAGTTTAAGCTTTCAAGCTTTAATGATCGCTCCAGCTTGTTTACCTCTACATTCTGCCTTATGTGCTAGCCTGCTTTGCTGTCTCAACTTGGGAGAGGCTTGTCAGTGCAAGGGGACGATATGACTTGACACCAGCATGCCATGGGCATGCATCCACCGCGCCAAAGGCTGCACATTGTGCCAGAGATCGTCAAGCAAATTCTGAGACCAACGCGGTCATGCTGTGCGTTCTGTTCGGCCACATAGAATCTGGATCAGTGTGCTCTTGAGTGCTGAGTCCCTTCTTCCCTGCCCCCAGCAAATATTTCCAAACATTTTCATGAACATGACAACAAGAAGTGAGCTCCCAATCCATGATGCAGACTCAGGCACGCACAGCCTTGGCCGCCGGAAATCGAGTGATCGATGCAGTAACGGGACAGGTTCCTTGGGTTCACTCAGGCATCACACGAGCCACTTATAATGCCTAGCTAGCTTTGTGGCATGCTCTCAAAACGGTTATATAACAACTAAACTATAACGGGATTGCATTACTAAAAAATGCCCCTAAGCCAAAGACCTTTCAGTGTGCCTGTTATGCATTCGCAGACCGCTTGTGGGACGGCAGGAGCCTCTACCGCGCTACGAGCAGTGTTGCCCAGATTCGTGCGATGTAGCTCACCACCTTCTCCCAGATTTCCTCATCCAGCAGGTCGTCTGGAACATGGCTCAAACGACTGGAGCCGATACCGGTGTTCGTTCGACTGGCATATTGCGCGCCCTTCCACTCCCAGTGGTTCTTGAGCGCTGCAGTCCTTGCCACGACGAGTGCCATCACAGCTGCAACGTGGACTTTCAGACATGCAGCGGGCATGCGCTGGACTGGCTGGACTCACTAGACATGATGTCAAGGGCTGGAGCTCAACATCTTCGAGGAGCTCGGTATCGTCAGTGGCCGGCCGCTGGAACACATAGACCACCGGAAAACCTCAAAAAGGAGTCGAAGGAAGCAGTCAGGACTGTCTCGCGCATGTTCAAGCTCGAGTGGCTAACTGGATAACACACAGGTCCGCACCAAAACTCTTGCTGCCCTTGCAACAATCTCTGTTCTGATGATTCGGGCGAGCTGCTAGAACCTAAGTTTCACTTGAAGGAAAGAGCCAAATGTGGCTCTCGAAGTTCGTCGCACACCCAGGCAATTGAGCCCAAACATCTCCGCGAACCCTGGATGCTGCATCTCCTCTGCAAGACCTTCTCTACCCCCCCCCCCACACCAGAACGACTAAAGAACGACTTAGTTCGAGCACCAGGGGGCCCGTGAGCGCCATCAGTGCGAAGGGCTCTGTACCTCCGGACAGGTTGGCGTAGGAGCCCACGAACTTGGCCATGGCCTGCAGAAGCAAAATCGAAACCACAACTCCTTGTGCATTAAGGCTTTAGGGCCTAGGGTCTTGGATGTGAAAAACAAGAGAGCGACCAGAGAGCGAGAGAGAGAGAGAGAGAGCACGAGAGAGTTAGAGAGACCTCGTCACTACCAGCACAGGTGTCGTGTCATGAATATCAGCTCATACTCGCTGGTCCTTTTGATACTGCTTTTGCCAGGATGCCGCCAGCTAAGGTTTTCCGGCTGACTAGCCTCCCCTGCACTGGTAGGCCCTACACGGCCGAACAAAAGGGGGCCCGTCATGGCAAGAGATGTGGCTTGGGCAAATGTCAGCGATTTTAGAAGGCATCATATGGACGCTAGACACAAAGATCTGACTGTGATCTTGGGGCCTCAGCACTCCGCTGCTGTAGCTTCAGACTACGTATGGCCACCCATTTAGCGTAACCGAGGCGGGCGCCAGCAGTGCCACCCAACAGCATGTGGTGGACAGCACGGAAGGCTCCGGCTCTGCAGAGGCACCAAGAAAATACTATTCTGAAGAGTATATAAAATAATATAATATAATATATTATAATATAATATATTATAATATATATATATATTATTATTATTATTAGTGTGAAGCGCGTAAGCTCAGCAGCACTCAAGCCCCGCTCGCATGTAGCCCATGTGAAGCTTTGGAAGTATGAAGCCAGTTGCAGCAACCGGGGGTCGTCTTGTGAATAATGCGAAACCGACCGTCAATACAGGGCCCGAAAACCCATAAAACTCAAAAATCGAAACCAAGCTCTCGCAAAAGGCCGAGGCCTTTTCCAGGATCAGGGCCCAGACCTGGAGGACGGCTTGTGTATCTTCCCCCCCCCCCCCCCCCCCCCTGTCCCATCTGGAAGTTTGCCATTTCCTCGGAAGTTTCTGAAAATTCTCAGTTTAGGATTTGTTCGTGCCGGGGTGCTCGAAAAGAGGAAGAGACAGAGCGGGAGAGGCACTCCACAACCCAAGGACCAACTTCAAACTCCGAACCTCCTCACCCCCAGCATGCCATGGTTTCCTTTTTAAGATTTAAGGTCAATTGGAAGCATAAATATTCAAGGACGCCTCTTGTTGAGCATTGCAGGCAGGA